TTTGTTACATACTAATTTCAAACACACGTACAGAAGCTTGTTGAATGATCGTCTTCACTGTGCTTTTTGAATGTTCCGTACATGTGTTTGAAATTAGTATGTAATAAAGACAAATGATTGTCTTCACTATCTTTTGTCTTTGTTACATACTAATTTCAAACACAGGTACAGAACATTCAACAAACATAGTGAAGACAATCTTTTGTTTTTGTTACATACTAATTTCAAACACACGTACAGAACATTCAACAAGCACAGTGAAGATGACCTTTTGTCTTTTTTTTTGACACCTAATTATTTGGTAATTTTAATTACTATGTTATCAATCAAACAATAACATTTTGATCGTAATTACACTATTTTAAAAAACATTTTGACACATGTCTATAGAATTATTAAAATAAAAGTCTAGAAAGACCTATTACACAAACTGATCCTAAGAGATTTAACTTGTACAGTTGTCAGAACCACCATTTCATATTTTCTTCCACAATATTTTTTAGGCTGTCAAGTATTTAAATTTTTATAAGGAAAATATTTACTTTCTGATTTAGACATTGGACAGAATGTTAAGTTCTATATTATTTTTGCAGTTAAAATAATTTAAACCACAATACAACTTGTGGATGATTTGATTGTTACAGATATACTGCTGTAAAACCTTAAAGAGCATAACTTTATCAACATTTTTTTTTCTGTAAATCATTATTTGAGTGATCTTCAGTAAAAGTCTCTGGCATCAATTCATTACTGCTTTTTTTCAAACCAAGACTTCTTATTGTTTCTGTACTAACTCTAATATTTATATATTACTTTGGAGGTCAATTCTACAACAATAGTTGATATGTTAACTTGTGTCTAAAAGATTCATAAGATAGCTAAAAGCATGTTTACTCTTAACAGTAGCTGCACTATAATACTGGATTTTTGCTATCTTAATAACTGTGACAATATAAAAAAGGAGAATATTTGGTTGGTTTTCCCAAAATTTGTAATGCATAATAGAGTGATTTAGATATTTTGGCAGTAATGTTAGAAAAAATTACCTTTACTTTCCAGTTAATAATAAAAAACTTTCTTGCAGGGCTCTTGGTACAAGAACAGTTCTTGTACTCCTAGCCCTGATGATGGCAAAATGTTTGCTGAAATTCTTTTTATTTTTTTATTATCTGGAGAGTAAAGGTCTTTCTAACTTTATTGCTAAAATATTGAGAATAGTTACTTTTTTTACAAAATCACATAAAATAAAGGGTAGTAATTGATATATTTTTCAGATAAACTGGCTCTAACTTGAGTTAAAACCCCCGAGTAAAATTATTCACAATTATTCAATTGTTCCAGCATGCTACGGTAAAGCAGAAATTACACTGTAGCTTTTTTATGTTTGTATAATTCTTTATATACATAATCCTTGAGAAATAAAGTTGATGCATGATTAAGTTTCTCACTACCCAACAAAATATAGTAATAGATAGTCTGTCCAAGTATTGATCTCCAGAGGCTTGGTTGGGAGGCGAGACAGTCAGTTGTATCTATTTTCAATAGGCCAAATGTAATAACTACATCTCATTTACACTTATTTTTTTAAAAAAATGAATGAGCACAGCAGCACTTTTTAGGTAGCATATCGTTTTGTCCAGAGTCGAGCAATGCGATCATGCTCTTCACGATGCTGAAGGTACTGGGTGGCAATACTTCCGACTAATGGATCAGCTGAAAGATACACAAAAATCCTGTAATTACATAACTGAGGACTGAATAATGACTTTGATGCAACAAAATTGTTTCTTAATAAACCGAGGTATATTCATAAAAAATCAAAGATGTGTGGTAAGAGTAGAAAAAAAGGGTTATATAACTTTCTAGGCCAATTCTAAATATAATTATTTTTAAGTCACATTAAACAAACACCAAGTTATATAAAGATGCTGCCCTACTAACACAGTTATGAGCCCTCTTTTAACAAACCTAATAAGCTGCTACTACGTTACCTGTAGTTAATTAATTTGTTTAGAGTTAATCATTAATTAATAATTCAGATATTCCTGATTATGCAGAAGTGGGTAATATTTTACTTATAATAAGAAACTTGGTATGAAACAAAGTTGAAAATTTTTTGATGATTTTAAATATTTTTAAAGAATTAAACTTTTACCCTCCTGTGTTCTGATTTCTGGTGAATTTGTTGTACCTTATTAAATACAGTTGATTCTATTTTAAAAGATCATTTGGCTTAAAACTTTAAATTACATTATGTTTTTATAAAATATATACACACATGTATATATATAATCCTCATATTACCCTCTTTGGTTCTGAACCATTCACTACTGCTGAGATCCATATTACATCATATCACTAAGTGTTAAGAACTAACAGGTGATATCTTTCATTTTTTCTGTAAAATATGAAGGAGGGGGCAGCATTTAGTAGTGGATTAACTATAATATTGATGGTATTTTTGTTTAAGTTTTTATGTGAGGCTTGTGACCACAAAGTCACTGTCCCACAAGCATTTTGGAGAATGTGTGTTTAAAAATACAATGTGGTTGAACCCCATTGGTACTTGTGGTAATATTATACCACAAACCATCATCATGTTTTCTTTGTTTTACATATTTTGATATTACTGAGTTTAACTGTCAAGATTCCAAATTTACATTAACAAATTTGGTTGAAAAAAAAATTCCGTAAATGAAATGAAAAATTAAAGCCGCAAACCAGACAGATAAATCATAAACTAAGAATGGCTACTGTAACAAAGTTAAAAGTCACCACAGAACATCTTGCAATGAAATCTTTTAGTGTAATTCAAGTTGCTAGTAAGTACTTTAAATTATGTAGTCAAAATGTTACAGAATGCATTTTCTGAACAAAAATTAGAAGAGGAACTTTTTGCTCTATGTATGATAAATACATTTGTTAGTTTATACAGTGGTTAAAAGTCAAGCTGTTGCCAAACCTGGGTTACAATCTGTCAGCAAAGAACATATCGACAGCAGAACTTTCGAGACAGTGAGAGCAGGGCTCCAGTTATCCTTCAGAATGTCCAGACAGATCATTCCTTGACTGTTGATGTTGCAGTGATAAATTCTTGTTCGAAATGTTACCTGGAACGTAAGACATAATTATCATGATCAGAGATAAACATTACAGTTTAGAAATGTATACACATGAATTATGTGGAAACTGTAAAAACGCTCTTATATATCCTAATGGTGACTGGTTTGTTACTAAGGTGGTTGATACAAAATTAATTCCTATCTAATACATTGTAAGTTAGGAAGTAAGTATATTATTAAGAGCAGCTTAGGATAAACAAACTATCCTGAAAAGAGGGTGCATATGAAATTGGGTTTGATGTTAACTTCTGTAGTATTTACGGGCAAACATCTGCTAGTTAAGACTTAGTATTTATAATTAATTGCTGAACACTTTTTGATTCAAAAATCATCAGTCGTAGTTTCTAGCATTGACAGAAAATGCGCACTTTTAACGAAAGTGCAATGTTTGGCCTTGTCCCAAATTCCTCGCATATAGTTTAAAATTAAAACTTGTAGGCGGAAAACCAAAATGGCGGCAGTTTATAACCAATGGCACGTTTCAAACACCGACATAGCTGCTGTACAAACGCAATTTAACAGAAGCTGATTTTTTTGTTTTAATCATGTAAGAAATCCAGAGTATGGTTGTCATATTGGTTTCATATGCTGCAATGTTGCTACAAGCTCTGAAAACGATTATCAGCTATAAAAATCTCGAATAGGAAAATTAGTGTTCATCTTCTGCTGATGATGTGCAATACACAGGCCTAACATTTGTCATAAACATCACGCAAAGTGCGGTTAAATTATTTTTTATCACAAATGTTAGGCCTGTTGGTTTCCAATGCTTCGCCAGATTTCAGCGTTTAATAACTTTTAAGGCAGCGGTTATGTAGCAGCCACTATTTAAAGCGTCGTATTTAGGTAGAAATTTATAAAGAAGGGGTCCTTTTACAGAAAACAAAAGGAAATGATTGCGGGGTCCCGAGGAATGTACCCTCGGAAAATGTTTGTAATTTTTTATTGAAAATGATAGTTCTTGATGGCATATGAATATGATGCTGTTTTTACACCTTGTGCATAGTTTTTATACCTATATGGGTGTAATTTAGGGGGTGCGATAGAATTCACTGTGGCCTACATTCCTTCTGTCTACACGCATGAGCCAGCTGCAACACAAGAACATGTCAACTCCATATACAGCAACACGTTTGCTACACAAGAACATATGGTGTCTTGCGTAAAAACCAACTGCAATATTAACTCCAGTCTTATTTCGACTGTTACAATACAAAAACAAATAGTAATCATTAAACAGTAGCTTATGTCAGTTAAGTGGCAGCTGTTCACGAGTTTTGAGTAGTTAATTTCATTGGTTCAGGCTGGTTGCTATCTAAACGTACTTGCGTTGTAGCGTAGAAGCTAAACATTTCTTTGTAAGTAGATGTACAGTATAAATTACAAAATTTCTAAGTTTATGAGAACTTAGAAAATATATAGCCAGTCTGTACTGACAGTTGGAAAATAGTGTGAAAAATAAGTTTTGGATCCTTCTGAAACAGTCTCGTCATTAATGGCAGTTTCTGAGCTAGCCTACTCATGTGTCAGGTCGATGTTAGCTCTTGTACGGGCAACTAAGACACGTGCGGAAGGAAATGACAGCGGGAAAGCTGCGTTTCTCGTTCACTACAACTCCCGGAAGGCCACATGTACACGAGTCGTTAAGCCTTATATGAACTATCATCGACCACCTTCTTCCCGTTACTCTAGCAACTGATGAAACGTGCAATCTGAATGGTATATAGCCGAACTGAGCTTTTGTACATTATACTTGAGCTTTAGTCCTAAAGAATGCGAAGCTGTTGTTGTTTTTTAATCTGTAACTATAAAAAATGTTGAACAATGAATCCTCGGCAAGTACAATCTTAATCATAAGCTATATGGAAGACATGGGGGAGGGGGGGGGCAAAACCCGTCTGCATGTCTTTTAGCATCAATTTGTTTTCATCGCTTTGTTTCTTCAATCAATCGTGTCAATTGTTTTCCTTTGCTTCAGTGATCCTAATTTTTGCTAAGCTTTATTTATTAGCATTATCCAGAATTTGAGTTAAAAATTATTTTATAGCTGGTGTTAGAAGTGTTCATTTGAAATGAATGCAGAGATGGCTTGATGCTGTAAGCATGGCAACTTTTAATTCGAATTTTAACTAATATATCAAATTTCCAACTTAATGTATAATGATACTGAAATAACTTGCTGTAAATATGACCACTTATTTAAAAAAATAACATACAATCCCTACTTCAATGGGGTTTGAGCACGTGACTTCCACATGACAGTCGAGCATTGTAACCACTAAACCATTTTGATATCCAACAGTTGAAATCCATCCAATATCAACTTAAAATATCACGATATTTGTGTTTTTCCGAACATTGGAAGAATTAGCTCTAAACCTGATCACCTATTTCAAAAAATTATAAAAATCCCAACTGTAGTGGTATTTGAACGCGATACTTCCACTCGAGGTTCTAAACGCTCTAACCATTGAGGCAATTTGAACGTTACCAAGAGACAGAGAGAGAGACTACGCTTGCCCGACCTATCACGAAATGACGAGTTGGAGTTTTTGTAAAAAACAAAACAAAAGATAAACCCAGAAAAACCGCAGAACGTATTTTATAATTACGTCATATAATCTAAAAATTACAGTTTAAACGCTGAAAAAATGAAGCACCCAAAAACAATAGACCTAAGGTTTATGAAAAAATTATATCACAAAGTTTAAACCTAAAAATTAATTTCAAGTATCATCATTACTTATGACGAATGACAATACGTTTGGGAGAAAGAAAGAAAAAAAATTTCATAAAAAGTAACAATAAAATTTAAAAACTTCACGAACACCTCTAACTTGGATGTTTTTAAAATTTGCCAAGAACTTTCAAATGGCTACGTCAAGGTAAGTATATGCAATAAACTAAAACGTAAAACGATCTATAAAAGTGGAATTCAAGACAGCCCCCGTGAATGTTCGAAGTATTATATATACATACTTAGTTTTGTTGCTAATCGACACAGATGAACAGAGCGTTACCAAAAGACAACTGGCTTATATATATTAGATTAAAGTTGTTGCTAAATGGCACTTTAAAATTGTCAGGTTCTACCTATAATACACATCCAAATTAGACATTTGTAGCAGGCACACCATACCTAATTATTTATGTTAATTATAAAACTATTGATATGTTTAACAGCCTAATAATTTATCCACGTACCTTTGGTGGTTTGAAAGGATATTCTGGAGAAAAATGGATGTCCAGGAAGAAGACTCCTCCTTCGTAAACAGATCCTGGAGGCCCAAGGATGGTAGATACCCATTCATAGAGATTGTCACCTTTAGGCCCTGCACTACATGAGACTAATGTGTTATACAAGCCACATATTTGAAACAAACTTGCTCTTAGTGTTTTACAGATTACTAATCTAGTGAAGCGAAGCCTAGCTTTAAAATATAGAGAAGAAACAATATACTAATAAAAGAAACAAAGTTTTATTGTACAAATATGGATACTTGTAATCTCAGATATAATAGATCAGGTCCGTACGTAGAATGTTTGAAGGGAGTGGGTCTAATTTGTGAGATCAAAACCAACACATAATGTGCGAATAACAATCAACGTACAAAGCATGCCCCCCCCCCCCCAAGAAAAATTTGTAACAAAAATGAATAAAATAGGAGTTATGAGATTAAATATGGTCTTCCTTCAGTTTATGTACACCTCAGGTAATTATTCAACCGGCGGATAGCAGATGTTGAACATTCATATGAACATGAACTTAGCAGCAGTGTGGCTAAGAGTTTTAGTAACATAAAGATATTTGTCACACCGAAGCACGCTTTGACGAAAAAGGAACTATTATTTAAGGTTCTGAATACAATTGTGATAACCAACAATGTAACGAACATTTGTATAAACCTTTGACTTGTTATAATATATTATTTTAAAACAAGTGCACTGTTTGTTTACTGCTGAAATTTATCGGCAACAAGTCACAAGCACCTACTGTAAAGAATCCTGTCTACACAACCTGACAGTAGCAATACGGTTTCGGATTTCAATTAGCCATGCGACTATTTCACGCTGAAAAATGCTAATATTTCATCACAAGAATGTAGACTACGTAGAAGTCACCCCCTGACCCCCGGTATGCATGTATTGGAGGGAGGCAGGTCGATATTTCTGGAGAATAAGGGCAGTGACCTGAAGTGAAACATATTAGACACTCTAAAACCAAACGTATTTTTTTGTGCGGAACCAAGGAGGTTGGGGGTAAGGTGTTTTGTAACAGTATTATTATCGCCTTACTTTAACCACTTCCTGTGATATTAAAATACCTTACGATTATTGACATACGTTAAAAGAATCCTGAACTGCGCATGAACAGTACTGATGATTTTGTAGAAAAATCCACTGTGTATAGAATATTATTAAATTCTTTAACATAAGAATAATAACTGTATACCATGTTATTGTTTTATTCTTACTTTGTGTACCATAATAATAACAAAAAATGTATAATACTAAAGATTTTTTTATATAAAAAGGTGAGTCCATTAGATAATAATACCAATCATTAGTACAAAATACTAGAAACGATAAGAGGGAAAACAGACCTACCCAAAATTCCACACAGTTAATCGTACGTACAATCACTGAAAGCACTACTGTGAATGAAATAAGTTTATATTTTCATGTTTTCTGTCATAAAATATAAAGTTTTCTTTTTTAGTATCATTCATGTGATTTATTGTTGCTACAGTAAATAGGGCAACATCAGGGGTTGCTTTGTCAACTGTTTGTATTAAATTCAAAGCAACACAATCGGCTATCTGCGTTGTGTCCACCGCCTAGAAATTGGAATTTTTCAAGCTGAATGACATCTTAGGATTAAGGTACAGATACCGTATAACAAACTGTTTTGAACTACTGACCAAAGAGAGGGCAGCCAGCCAGCAGCACCTGCTGCCACAAAGGTTTGTCCGGATCTTTGAGCCGAATAATGGGATTGACTTTCACTTTTGATATAAGCTTACGGCGGAAAGGCCGCTAGGCCACGCCCCACCCTTCACCAGGGATCAAACCAATGTTTCAGAGTCGTATCGATCTACAGCCGCTGAGCCACGCCTGACCCTTCATCAAGGATCAAACCAATGTTTTACAGTCATCATATCGATCTACAGCCGCTGAGCCATGCCTGACCCTTCACCAGAGATCAAACCAATGTTTCAGAGTCGTATCGATCTACAGCCGCTGAGCCACGCCTGACCCTTCACCAAGGATCAAACCAATGTTTCAGAGTCATCATATCGATCTACAGCCGCTGAGCCACGCCTGGCCCTTCACCAGAGATCAAACCAATGTTTCAGAGTCATCATATCGATCTACAGCCGCTGAGCCACGCCCGCCCTTCACCAGGGATCAAACCAGTGTTTCCTCTAAGAATTTTTGAAATTCTAGCGCTGTGCGTAAACATCTTGAAAAATCAACTTAGTAATCCTGAAATACGCTATGAAGCTACAATAGTTTATTCATAACATTTTGTTTATCTCGTATATTTAATTTTCTCTGTTTTGCTATTAGTAATTCGGTTAATTTTTATCATCAAATACGGAAAATATGAATTAAAACAGGAGGGAATCCTCAATAACCGTAGCACTTGAAATTATTTTAGGCAGGATTAGAGTTAATTAATCTACGATACTTTAAGCGTGGTCAAATACATCAATCGAAAGAGTTGAAAACTGTAATTAGATCTAAAATCAGTCAAGAGATTACGGATCTATGAACGTAAAAGTTTGTACTTGGAAAACTCAGAGCCATTCTATGAACCGCCATTCAGCGGCTAAAAACTGATGAAATTATAAAGTAGCATATACAAAATAGCTGCAAATATACAGTCGGAATTTTTAACCCTGGTTGCAAGATACAAGAAAGCCTAGTTGTACTTTGCATTAAAACGAAACAAAGTTTAATAAAGAATAATAAAGCAAAATATTCCCAATGGGATACACGAAAAGCCAGTTGCATTGAAAATAGCAAAGTCATTCATTTTTAGCACTAATAGTAACTGGATCTTAAATGAGCAAAATCTCAACTTTTACTTTGCATTCAAACAAACAAAATTTCTATTAAAACATGTTTATTCACAAAGGGTTTGATTTGTTTTGAAATTCGCGCAAAGCTACACGAGGGCTATCTGCGCTAGCCACCCCTAATTTAGCAGTGAAAGACTACAGGGAAATCAGCTAAGTCATCATCACCCACCGCCAACTCTTGGGCCTTTCTTTTACCAACGAATAGTGGGAATGACAGTCACATTATAACGCCCTCACAGCTGAAAGGGAGAGCAGGTTTGGTGATACGGGGATTCGAACCCGTGACCTATTCGCAGAGGAAATAGGAAACAACAATGGAATTAACAATCAATAAATAAAAATATATTAAAATTGATTTGTTTGGGTTCCGAAAACGATGGTTTTTCACTGGACTGAATGTGTTTGTTCTTCTTCCCTTTTCAAGCCATAACAACAATGGAATGTTACTTTTAATGTTGACACTGGTAATTTGAAAGTTTCGTTTATCTGTTCTGTCTTATTTCGTAATGCTGAAAACGTCTTCAACACAGTGTTTAAGAGTGGAAGGAAAAATTACATTTAACTTTCTTCTGTAAACGTAGGAAAACGTAAAGAGAGGATGGAACTATAATACATCATTTTTGTATTGTCGCAAAGTCCACTCTTTACCAACCTGACCAGCCAAGAAGATCTTACTCTTTAAAAATGAGCATTCATAGGGTCTACAGTCTTGGCATGTTCGAAGGTTGGGTGGTAAAACCGAATTTATAGGGTCTAAAGTCTTGGCATGCTCGAAGATTGGGTGGTGAAACCGGATTCATGGGGTCTACAGTCTCGACATGCTCGAAGGTTGGGTGGTAAAACCGAATTTATAGGGTCTAAAGTCTTGGAATGCTCAAAGGTTGGGTGGTGAAACCGGATTCATAGAGTCTACAGACTTGGCATGCGTGAAGGTTGGGTATTGAAAGCGAATTCATAGGGTCTAAAGTCTTGGAATGCTCAAAGGTTGGGTGGTGAAACCGGATTCATAGAGTCTACAGACTTGGCATGCGTGAAGGTTGGGTATTGAAAGCGAATTCATAGGGCCTACAGTCATGGCATGCTCGAAAGTTGGGTGTTGAAACCGGATTCATAGAGTATACGGTCTAGGCATGCTCGAAGGTTGGGTGGTGAAACCAGATTCATGGGGTCTACAGTCTTGGCATGCTCGAATATTAGGTGGTGAAACCCAATTTATAGGGTCTACAGTCTTGGAATGCTTGAAGATTGGGTGGTGAAACCAGAATCTCCTTTTTTATCTTACATGTGATTTCTCTGTAGAAAAGAACTTGGTGATTTCTTCATGGTTCAAATTTGCATCATTTGTTTCTGGTATGTCAGTGTGGTCTCTGCAAAGATACTTAGATATACTTTGTCCAGCGGCAAATACTCATTATTTTTCCTTTAATTAATCAAAAATCATAATGTCATTAACCAATTAAACATACTTCACATTTATAAATTGGAAGCAAATATTTGATTAGCCTATTGCTACGCATAACCTGTAAGAACTCGGAGCATCCTTTAGAAAAAAAAGACCGATTTAAGAATGCCTAATGCGTAAGTCGTAAACTCGAGCAAATATTTCAAGCTCAAATTTTGTAACTTGAAAAGAACAAGTCTATTAGTATTATAAGATCTTCCAATATAGTGACGTTTAATATCAGTGCACTACTCAAACATGCTATCCAAATACTGTTTCACCGACATGCATCTGTTATTAAGTAGGCGCCAGTATTTTATGCATTTTACAGACTAAAAATGAGTGAAATTCTTTTAAAAGCCAAGAAGTACCAAGTTTTGTTACCCATGGATACAATCCTGTCTTGACGTGTTCCTTTAACCACTTGTAGTCCAAAAAACAGGTAGATATTCCAAGTCATGCCTGTCTCTGTTCAAGTGTTCAAAAACAGGTAGAAGGTTTTCGAACTTACATCTGAACGGTCTGTATTAATACGGACACTGAGTGTTTGCTCAGTTTCTCCGATATATTGTTTGTTACGTTTACGAGATAGTAGACAGTAAACTAGATTATTTGTGGCACAAGTGCTTTTCTGTTTGATTTTGTGCACTCTTGAATGTTTTTACTGTGGAATAGTTGTGGATGGTATTTGGACGCTTCACAACACGGATCTTCCAAGGAACGTAGCCAGAAGCCTAGGAATCTGACGACAATTTGGAATCAACTGGTCAGTTCTTTCAACTAAGCGGATTATGACAATACATCTTAGGT